AAGAAAGATCTGTAACGACCCCTGCACAGTTTTTCCGGCCGAGAAGTTAAAGTTAAATTCTCTTTACGATCTGCGGAAAAGAGGGAAAAGTAAAGTGGAGAGGAAGGAGGAGGAAGAAAAGACAGACAGTAGGATCCATCTGAACGGCGTTCGTTTGGATAGTTAACCTTCTAAGTTTAATGTTGGTGTGCAGTTTTTAGGTTGGAAGGCCGTGGCCCCCCGTAGGGTCTAAAAATCCCGAGTGTAGCGAACACCATTAATTGAGAGCCGCCACGAATAGCTAAGAATAAAGGTTAGTGCCGAGTGGCTGTCAGTGAATAACTTATATCTATTTAATAGTAATAATACAGAATGCGAGTGCGAGACAAGGCTAACTTAACTGCTAGATAGACAGCACGAAAAACAAACTAGAACAACGACAAAATCGAATACACACACAGTCCGGACAAAACACAAATAAGCAAGACTCCCAAAGTTTTTTTCCACTCTAACCTAACATGTCCTAATTTAACTTACAACCAAGACTAACCGAAAACTGAGTGGAAAATAACTAGAAGAAAATACAGAAAATAAAAAGAAAGAAAAAAAAAATAGTAACAATGTAGCTATTGATAAACTACAGAACAAAGCATGGGGAAGCTAGTTGCCATCTATTGCACAGGAGTGAATACACTCAATGTCCCTACAAAGGGATGTGAAAAAATGGAATATTGTAGGCATGTGAATGAGTTGGTGCAGGCTGCATGCCAGTTGTAACTTTCAACAATAGCAGCTCTAATTTAACTTTCCCTTATCATCCACATATATGTGAAGAAAAAAATTCTCCGAACTTTCGAGCCCCGAAAATTTTACAAGGTTATTAAATAAATTATTTTCTAAACAAACGCAAAAATAATAAGGGTACATGTCGGAATTAAAACCTTTTAAAATTAATTATACGAGTTTTTCATTGTAATAATATATAAATGTACACATAAAAAGCTATATTTTTATTCATAAGCGAAATCATATGTGCATAACAGCGAGTTATTTAATTTGAAATGAAATTTTCTTTTAGTCAAAAATGTATCTATAATTGTCCATATTTAGTTCAAATTATTTCAAGTTAGAAATTGCTGGACATAGGGCAGGTTTCTAAAGGCAATTATCACGCCACTTTTAAATGAGAATCAAACCTTTTATGTTAATAACTTTTTTATGGAAATCAAAGTATTAATTTACAAAAATTATTATTTTAATCTGCTGCCTTTTTTTAAAAAAACAATAATACTGGTTTAATTCACTAAAAATACAGACAAATAAATTAGGTTAAGTGGCAATTATTATGAAGATAAAATCTTTATAAAGAAAGAAAGAAAGATCTGTAACGACCCCTGCAGTTTTTCCGACCGAGCAGTTAAAGTTAAATTCTCTTTACGATCTTTAAATCGCATCATATTTTTGCATAAATTCAATTACAGCTTCAAGCATGCCAACAGATAAAAATTGTTAAACACTGATGGAAACGAACGAGTTAACTTACACATATCACCGCTCGGGCAGAATTTTTACTTCGAATTTCGAACTAACCGAATTCTTTAACATATGAAAATCTATTATATCCACGGCCGGGACAAAAGTACACTTACGAACTAACAAAAACTTTCCTGTATTAAGGATCAGACCGAAATAAGCATTGTCATAATTAAATCAAATAAATTAGTACGGACAAGTGTCGATGGAACAATTCTTTATTCGAGAATGTTTTACATAACATTTTAATTACATATTAACAATTCAGATATTGATATGAAGTCATAATAATGAAATTCATTAAGATAAAAGCGCGTTTCCAACAAACTTATACATAAACACTGTTCTATATATTCAAGCAAAATTTGCAAATAGATAATTTCAGCAAATTCGAAATGTTTAAATTTTGTGTTAAAATTACGTGTGCCAATAAATATTGAGTTCTGTCGATCAAAAAAAGTTGTTTGTTGTAAAATTATATTTCAAGAAAATTACATCCAAGAATGAATATTGTGATGCTTTTATAGTTGAAACTTTCAAAAAATTAAAAAATAACTTTAATTTTAAACTGGCTTTACTTGTACCTTATGATTATGATACATAAATAAAAATTATAAATTTCGAAGGAAAATTCTTTCTAATTGTGAATATTGTAATGATTTTTTAAATCTATGTTTCGAATGAATTTCTCTGGACATAATTGACATTCATACAGTTTTTCTCCGTTGTGGATCCGAAGGTGTCTAATTAAGTTTCCTTTTACTGAAAACTTCTTTTTACATTCTTCACAAGTGTAAGGCTTTTCTCCGGTGTGGGTGCGAAGATGTCTAATTAAGTCTATTCTTTGTGTAAACAGAAGTTTACACTCGTCACAAGTGTAAGGCTTTTCTCCAGTGTGAATGCGAAGATGTGTAATTAAGTTTCCTTTTTGAGAGAATTTTTGTTTACATACGTCACAAGTGTAAGGTTTTTCTCCGGTGTGGGTGCGAAGATGTCTAATTAAGCTTCCTTTTACAGAAAACTTCCGATTACACTCATCACAAGTGTAAGGCTTTTCTCCTGTATGTATTCTTTCATGACGTTGCAAATCTAGTTTAGCTGTAAAGTTCTTCTTACAGTGTTTACATAAAAATTTCTTTTGGTTCCTTTTATCTGCAATTAAAAAAATTGTATTAAATAATATTTTATTTGTGAGTAATAAATTAATTTTCTTCAATAGAAGCAATAAATAACCAATAATAGTATTTAACTATAAATAAACATTTATATTTCGAAAAGCAGATTTCTGCATCAAAACATAAAAACTAATTTTACAAATGACAAATTTCGACTATAAATACATAATACTACTAATATTTTCAATCACAGCGAAATAGAGACAACATATTAAAGTAAGCAATTTCTGTAAAACATTTTAAAAGTGTTTTTATATCTTTATGCTTTTGCATTGCTCCTTATTTCATGAAATAGATTTGCTCCTGCTTCTTCAAGTAAAACACTATCTAATATACAAGTTTTTTCTTTAATCTTGGAAAATATTTTCTTCTAAACGTTCTNAATAATTTCAAAATAAATTTTGAGAAAACACAAAATTTATAGTGTTCCTATACTTTTGTAACAGACTGTAATTTAAAATCATTGCAATTATGTTTAGAAGATGTCAGAAATAAATTATAGCCTATATAGTATCTTGCATACACAAGGCATGTTTGTCACAGTGATAGCAGCATTTCCAAATTACAGGTATACCTCGACTTACGTCGTTCCCGATTATACGTCGTTTGTCAGAAAAGTATATGGAAAAATAAAATTCAAGTTTAAGTCATTTTATTCGACTTTACGTCTGTCCGCCACAAATATTTGAAGTCGTAATATCACTAGAAAAATGTTTAAAGCACATAAAATCATAAATATATACATTTACAAGTATGTACTGTATTAAAGTACATGCATTCATAAATTTAAATTACTTTTTTCTGTACTATATTAAAAACTAAAATTTATTTGTTTGTAAAGCTTAAAATAGATCCTTATTAACCATATATTATTAAAAATGCATTAATAAATAAAATACAGAACGGGAATTGTAATTTATGGTTTAGCCTAGTGGCAAGTAGATTCGGAGACAAGTAAATTCGACTTACGTCGTTTTTCGACTTAAGTCGTTCTGCTGGAACCAATTGCCGACGTAAGGCGAGGTATACTTGTATATGCTTACATAAATGTATATGATACAGTAGCCAATATACATGTATGATGTAATAGGCTATAATCTATTCAGTCATATCCCAATTTTCAAACTGATTGTTTAGCAAAGTGAAAATAACAACTTAAACATTTCCATTATAATTTGCAGCAAACAAGATCCTTAGCCAAAAATTTAAGCTTATGAAAGATGCATATAAGAGGGAACTATCAAAGCTGCAGAAATCAAAGTCATCTGGAGTGGGCATTAATAATATGCACAAAATCAGATTTCTGCATTTCGACCAGATGGGTTACCTGAGGGACTCCATGCAGGCAGATAAAAGTGAGGATACCATCAGCCTCAGCACCTCCCTTGAAAATGTAAGTGCAAACATAATGTTGGCCACATAAATGTGGTATGATGGTGGCAACAGTATAGTTGCTTACCTAGAACATTGATTGTTGCCTTGTACCAGTTATGGATGATTTGATATATGAATGTCACATTCTAACATGGTCATTAGACATGTACACTACAACATGTAGTGCACATGCCTTAATTAATTAATAATGCAATGCTGGTTTTGATTTCAGGACAAGTGTAGTCAACCCATAGCTACAGAAAGAGAAGACTCGATGTGTACTGAAGGAAGTGACTTCCAAGAGCTATCTTTCGCAATAAATAAAAGCATGGAACCAAATACTCCAGCAAGTAGCTCGATCTCAGGAAGTCACTCAGTAATGCCAACGACATCGACATCGACATCAAACAGCCAGCCGTCTAGTCCCCATCCGATGG